ATATTCATAAAGAAAATTTATATACTTTGTGTCTTCAGACATTCTACTATGAAAGTGTAATGAAGTACTCTAAAAACTGACTACTAAATGATTTTTTTCCATTGTTGAACCACTGTGTGACGGGATAAAACGTTTAGCAAACAAGAAAGAAATTGAATTCTGTATGTATAGAATTATACATACATACATGTATGTATAAACGAATGCGTGCTGTTGGCTTCGTTAGAAGGGAAGGGAAGAGAGTTTTAAGCCTCAGCTACTTCGAGACTCTTCTCGAGGGGATTATACAATGAAATATATTTCCTCGCTGTTTCATACCTATACAAAGCAGTCTGCTAAATATAAGTTCCACGTATCGATTTTTAGCCACGTTTTCTTCATTTACCAACCAAATTTTGATACCCATTGCGTGTTTTCCATGTTTACCTTTCACAGAGTAGAATGGTAGAGAAGGTTCGACAATAGGTGGATAGTATTGTATTGTTACGAATTGAATTCTACGGGTGTACAAGTTCAAAGGGCAGTAGGCCACTAAAACAATTAACAAATTGATAGGAGGTTGTCTAATCAGGTTGGATAATGGAGAAATAGAGCTATTGTTCCAAATCTTAATTGCTCCCTCTGTCCAAAAATAAAGATTGCCATTTTAATTTAAGTGTTATTCCAGTTTAAAGATCAATGTTAGGGATTGAAGAATATTGAAAACCATTTTTTATCAATGTGTATCATATTATAGATGTCGTGGAAGTACCAGTTTTGTTTAATGTGAGACAAACAAAAGTTTATTCATGCCAATTTATTAGCAATGGTTCCAAATTCTTTCCCTTTTTGAACGATCATGTAAAATTGATTTGGGAAGTTTAATTACACCTCGCATTGTTTCTCTATGAATTACATGCAACTTTTTTATAGCTAATAGCTTGCAAATTTTGAGAATTTTGTTGTTCTGAGAATTTTGAGAATTTACTCTTCTTTTTGGTGTAGAATTTTAATTATTGATTTCTAGTATTGAGTTATTCTTTCACGGATTTCCAAACTGTTAAACTTGATTTTCTGTTTACTTTAAATGCTTTGGCAACTGAACTGATTACACCATGACTCAGTTTAGACAATTTATGACAACTTTAGTTTTTTTGAATTTTTGAAACAAAGCTATTCCATCTTTTTCATCACAGCTAAAATTTTTGGTACTTGTAGTACAATTATCAGTTTTGTTACTTTGATTTATACTTTCCATTTCGAAGGGGAAATTAAATTTGACTACTTAATTAACACTCATTCTGTGCCATGAATTGTTTTTGTGCTTAAATTGGTTTGAAATTTAACATTTCTGACATTTGTTTATGGTTTCCAACAACAATAAATATTTGTTTATCAAAAAAGACTAGATCCATTTTTTCTATTTTTCTATTACTAATAAATAAGAAAAACGACATTTTTAAATTGGACTCTTATTTTCGTACAGAGGGCGTAGCTGTTATCTTTACACGTTTTACGTTCATATTTAACAGAATTATTATTCTGTAATTAAAATGAATTTAAATGAAGCTGCAAAACTTAAAATTAATACAATGTGTCGGCCATCTTAATTATTTATTTCCTATTATGTAGATTAGCTAGAATCCTTTTTTATATACATAGAAAAGTAAATCTAAACAAGCAGTAGTTTGAGTAATTGATTTTCCAGGCTTAATCATATATAAGAACAGGAAGAAGACGATGAAGTAAGAGCATAGTTTATAAAGATTGGAAGATGGCTGCGAACGAACTAATGTATAAAATGTCCGCGACGAACATTCTAAATCTTAATTAGTTGTTACCATCGTTGGTTTTGATTTAATAGGATTCTTATTTCTCGAGTCAAATGAGTTTAGACGAAGCTGTAAAACGCAATTTTAATGCGATGCACTGATGTCGGCCATCAATTACAAAGCTTAGAAGGTGGTTGAATGAACGGAAGCAGTACGTGTTAGAGTTTCGGGAAACGCATGTCGAACGTGGCAAGGTGAGCAAACCTCGAAAGTAGCAACGACGCTTGTAGACGTTCGACGAGTGACAAAGAGATAAACTCGATGTTTTATACGCTCGAGAGATTCTACTCTGAGAGAAGAGTTGTATCGACCTCCGGCATCGAGGACGCGAGGCTATCTTCCAGAGCAAACATCCCGCTTATTTAAAGCAGCTGTTTTAGTCGCGAGAGCCACGAGGCGGTTAGCGTATCCTACTTTACGATAAAAGCTCCTCGATCCCGCTTATTCGCATCCTATTCCATCCAGTCCATCTACCGTTGCTCGTTTCGTTTCGATTCTCCACGACCTCTCTCGAAAATAGAGTGACAGTCATCCCCTTCCGTTACACTTATACCGTCGCTCTAGGACTTCTAGAATCAAAGTTTGTTCTTCGGCGACAAACTCATTTCTATCCGAATCAATTTGTACCGGAGAGTTGGTAAACGAACCAACACAGGAGACGGGGGGGGGGGGGAGAATTGTTAAACACAATTTTCGCCCGTTTACCTTACTTCCCCCTGGGAAATGTACCGGCGATACTTTCGCGGTGTAACAAGTTGCGAGCACACACGGGCGATCGGTGGTGGACACCTTAAGAGGAAAGCACGCTTACGTAGACGAGCAACAGAGAAAGAAAGAAAGAAAGAAAGAAAGAAAGAAAGAAGCAGTTTAGATATTATCTTTCTTGCGCACACACGTGATTGGTCGATCTCTCTCTCTCTCTACTGTTAGAGAGAGGAAGAGAGAAAATATCCAAACTATTACTTTCTCTTTCTCTCTCATCATCGCCTACACTTTTTCACTACACGCGCTTCCTTCATGTAATATACAGGGCGCCCCAAAACTAGTGTAAGATATTGAAATGTGAGGTCCCTGACGTAATTTCAAACATTTTCCTTAGCGAAAAAGTTGTCCGAGGCGTGGTTGAGGAGTTATTAACAAAAAAACCCGACCAATCAGAGCGCGCAGATCCGGACACTCGGCCTATCAACAATCTATCATTTCCCCATCCATTCCATTTAAAAAACGATTAAATGTATTAATTG